AACCAATAAAGACAAAAGCTTCCTAACTAACTTAATTCATAATGAACTTCCAGTCCTACAGATACTTAAGAAGAGGAAATCAGATATGTATATCACAACTACTTATCCAGTATCTGAACTTCATAAAAAGATACTAGGATATCTTTTTGAATGTCCAACCACTAGGGAAACTCAGAAGAACTTATGACAAAAGGTAAATAAAAAAATCAATAAACTTATTAGTAAAGAAATAAAAGAGAAGAAAGAAGTTCAACCCAAAATAAGTGACTGGACAAACAAATGGTTAGAAGAGATTCAGAAATCTGACAGGGGCCTTTTCAATACCATCTGTGGATACATGGAAGAAAGCAAGACTATCTCCTTGAAGAAGTATCTCAAAGAGTAGCTCAAGATCTCACCAACGAACACACAGGGTATAATCGATAAACTTTGTCAGAAGATGAGAGCAAACTTTAAAAAGAAGATCTGGAATACTCATTGTACCAAAGTAATAGAATGTGAAAAGAAACATAATATTATAGAAGAGGACAAAAGAAACAAGAGATTCAAACCCAGACTTAATGAACAGACTGAACAGGATCAAAAAGAACTACTATTACCTCCAGAGGACTTGAATCTGGAGGACATCAAAGAAATAGAAGAAAAGAAATATACAGTGATTATTAAAGATTGGATTTGTTATGGAATGAAGTGATTTGGTTTTTAACTGTAGACAGAAATTATAATGATTTATAGTAATGACCTGTAGGCAATGATTTTATTAATTAGAAGAATTATTCAAATTAGTAAAGGAGCGAAATATTATTCTTTAGGTTGCATTTAGAGAAATATTTTTTTTGACGATGAGTGAGTCAGTATGTGAAAGTCACAACAATTTGTAAATACCTAGCATATATACAATAAAGACATGCCATGCTGACCTGACTGTGGGTTAAAAAAAAAAAAAAAAGGTAATAAACTAAGAAGATATTTATTCAATATTTATTATAAAGTAAAATATTATTGTTAAGATCTAATTTAAAGATTATTATTATTTATAATAAGTTTATTAGATTTGATAAAAATATTTAATTGTAATATGTATCATGTTATTTAAGTGAAAATATATTCATATTTTCAATTCAAAAAAAAAATTTTTTTATTTAAAAGCTTAAACTTAAATTGAAACAAATAAAAAATTTTTTAAAAATTATAAAAATAAAAGTTTTTTTAAAAAAAGTAGAAACAATTAATAAGAAAAAAAACAAGTTTTTATATTATAATAAACTTTTTATATAAATTTTTTAAAAAATAATAAAGATTTTTTAAGTATTTTATTATTGGATTTTTTTTTTATTAAAACTTTTTATTATTTATAGAAAAAAAGTTTTTTGATCTTTCTAATTACTAAAAATCAAGTTTACAATTAAAAAAATTTGTAAGTAAGAAAAATAATTCTTGATGATATTTTTCAAGTTGGTTTAAAAAAAGGTATAGATATTTTATTAGTTAAAAAGTCAAAAAGCTTTTTTTTAATATTTTTTATATGTAATTGAAAGATTGGTGAAAAGAGTTTTTTTAATGAAATAATCAAATATTTAAATAATAAGATTAAATAAAATATTTCAAAATATTATTTACAAAGATTCTTTATTTAATACTTATTTTATAGATCAAATAAAAATATAATTTATTTAAAGAAAAATTTAATATATATATACTGTATATGTATTTTTTTTTATAATAATAAAATTCAAATTTAGATTTACTTATTTTGAAATTAAAAAAGATGATAAATATTTTAAATAATAAAATTAAAAATAATTTAACATAATAATAATTTTATGGAATCATTATTATTATTGATGATGATAAAAAAAAAATAAATAAATAAATAAAAATAAATATTAAAAAACAAGAACAAATTTTAAATTAAGTCAAATGATTAATAAAAAATAAAAAATTTTTTTTATAATTTTAAATTAAAAAATAAATGCTGTATATAATTGATTGAACATATGATTTATTAATAATTAAATAATTTTTTTTTAAGAACCAGATTATTGAAAGTAAAATTTTATTGTCACTCAATATGTGACTATTTTCGAAAATAAAAAAAAATGGGTTTTTTCTTCTTTGAAAATAGCAATTTTTATTTTTAAATTCTTGAGATATTGCTGTGGATATTTTTATAATATCGTGTATGCTTGACATGTCATAAAAATATATTTGATATACAATATTGTAAAAATATACTTGACACCATCAAAATATTTCATAATTAGATTTTTTTAAAAAAACACATTTAAGAAATGATGCATTGCGCAAATAATGAATAAATACTGTATATGAAATAGAGAGATGTTATTTGAATTATAAAAATATACTAAAATCGGTAAATGACTTTCCCTTGAATTATAAACTCGGCCTAGGGTTTGTTCAACATTTCACAGTTCGGTCATGTTCACGTGCGAATTTATCATATCTAGATTAATTAGATAGAAAATTGAAACGGGTTACATTCAGTGAACTCCGTTTGCCGATTAAAAAGCGAGAACAAAGAGCAAAACAAGTGAATGACGTTTATTTTGTGTATTGTTTTTTTTTCTGCTCACCAGATCATCATTTCGACCTATTAATAATCGCAAGAGTGTTGCATGAATTTAAAGAGATTTATTGAATTAGATAAAAAAGTAAATCCATTGTAGTATTTGAGTAAATTGGGTGCGTCACACTTCCGTGTAATATCTGTTTTGAATAATTATTAATATAATGATTAAATTTAAGTTCAACATTCCAAAGTAAGGCGTGAATTACTTGATTTATCTTAAAGAGAAACTACAATATAATTAGTGATGTCCAATCAGAGATTGATCTGAATTATCGAAAGCCTGATAAAGATTAGCGTGGACATTTGACACACCTTTTTTAAATACGGAGTAAGCAATGAAAATTCCGAAAACTCATTAATCAGTGGCACATTGGTACATTACTGGTTAACCGGTGGCATATCAAATAAAATTTAAGTACGTACCATATGTGCGTACATACGTAAGTATAATAAATTTAAACTTCAATCAATATGGTGATATTAATACAAACGGAGAAAACATTAATTAGAAAGTTTTAAAATAGAGTGGTTACACAATAAGGCTTACGCAGGAAATCAACGATAATGCTCAATGAGAAACACCGAGTTACAACAAAAGAGGAAATAAAATAAATAAAAATTCCGGAATGCTGAAGAATGAAGGGCGAGTGAAACCTATGAAAAATGAAGAACCGGGAGGACTTGGAAATGAGGTATTCACGGAGAACATAAAGAGAGCACACGCAAAGGTCAAACCGAGACAATGTGCACATTGTAACAATCCTGTCCGATAATACATAAACGTAATAAAGGTGTTCCAAAAAGAGCATAAGTCCAAAGATGCTCAAAGCCGAATAAAGGCTAACAATTTAGCATTAAGTAAATTGGACGATGAATTATTAAAAATCAGGAAATGTCGAATCAAAGGTGATACGTGAGGAAGAAGAAAAAAAAAAAAAAAAGTAAAATAAATAAATCAAATATAAACCAATAAGGCATTATCGAATACTAAGCATTCAAACTAAGCCCTAAAGGCTCACCCTAAATTCATGCCAAATTAAAGAGCAAAGCCAAAATCAGAGTACTATCAGAGTCTAAAGGAAAGGATGAATGGTAAAAAAAAAAAAGAATACAAATAAAAGTCTATATCTGGTAATGATGTGCCTGGAAACGCCCAATTCTTGACACACAAGAATCAACATACTAATAATAAAATTGACACTAAATCAAACTTACAAAATCAACATCATCATTTTCCGTATCAATCATTATGAGACATTATTTAGTAATTATTTATTATAAATTAAATTACATATTTGATTTTTATCAATTATATGATATTTATATTAAAATTCATTTTCCTCATTTTGCCGATTAGGAAGATTTATTCAATTTTCCTTTCTTTATTTATTGTTGCACTGCAGTGTAGACCCTAAACCAACATCCCACCCATTTGCTAAAAAAAGCCCCTGCCCTCTTTTTCTCCCCCTTCTTTAACCTTTTCCTGTTCGAGAACAAATCTTTTTTTTTTTTTTTTTTTTTTAAAATGTGTCTGTGTTCATTATTTACCGTTGTAGACGCAAAAAACTGAGCCCGTTTTGATTTATTGATATATTATTGTTAGTCTTGTGCGCCCAAGCTTTACACACCCTAAAATATCTTAACCTTTGTTTGAAATCCTTCTTTTTTTTTTTTTTTTTACTTCGTCGTCCGGTTCCGACCTCCATAACTCTAAATACATTTATCTTCTCTCAAAGTCCATACTCTTTCTTACATTTCGAAGTCCTTCCCGTCTATTTAAGAAAGTTCTATTTCACCTTGAAATCACAAAATAAATATAAAAGCCATATAAAGAACGTCCAGTAGAAGTTTTTCTTGGCAACAACACTTAACATTAACAAACGAAAAAATACTTTAGAGCCTGTAAGTAATATTTCACATTCTTTGCAAATATCTCTCTGTGAGGCGAAACATTTGGCGAACCTTTGCGGAGAGGAGAATAGAAACATCGGTTCTGTGCTTTATTGTATCTATCTGAATCCAGTATATCTTGGTCCACTTTCTTTTTTTTTTTTTTTTTTTCCTTCTCGTTCTATCGCTATCGCCACTCTACTACTTTAGTCTATTTTATTTATTCAATAATAATGATAATATTATTATTATTATCACTATTATTGCCGTTGGTTTTATTTTTATTTCTTTTTCGGATATTGTACTGTTTGTCGTTCAGAATGGACCTGCACAAGAACAAGGTGTGCAACAACTGCGCTGCTGCAGAACACGTATATTATATACTGTTGATGACTGATAAACACTTCATGAAAAAATCGATTGTCAACACACTTCCGGACTATACACAGTCGTCATCTTTCCTCGTTTTAACTTCTTTGAATAATAATGTAACAAATTTTATCTGTAACAGATGATCACGATGACAAAAGTTTACGACCAATACTCTTCTTCATCTACATCTCCCGCCATGCGATCATCCAATACTACACGTAGGGCCTCTGTTGTGTCTATATCGGCCCTGTTAAATCCTGAACCCGAAGAAAGTCAGGGATCTTCCATACGAACCATGGCACAAACGAATAATCATGATTCCTATGGTAATTATGATAATTACGCTGATCCTTCAATGAATCAAAGCGGTCAATCCTGGAGACGTTACTCTGCACCAAACCTTTCTTCAGAAACACATGACACGCCCAATGAAAATAATGGCCTGACCATTATTAACTATTGTAATAATAAACCAAATGTCATCCCCCCTCCTGAATCAGATTCGTCTCTGTCGTCTCCTGTCTCTCCAAATTCAAGAAATTCTTTTACGGGAAACGGCTCATCAAGGTCGAATTCATCATCCCTACCTTCGACTCGTCGATCTTCGATGAATCGACCTTCTTCATCTGATCAGGCTTCCATCAATAACATGATCACTCCGCCTCAGACTCCCGGTGTCAAATCTCCAACAAAGGCCAACTTCCAATTCCCCTCAAATGCGACCGAACAATCTAGTCAGCAAACGATGCCTCCGAAAGTTAAACGCAAGAGAATCACTCAAGAACAATTGGCTGATTTGGTAGCGATGTTTGAACAAACGGACACTCCGAGTTACGATGTACGTGAGAAATTGGCGAAGAAATTAAACATGACTAATCGTGAAGTTCAGGTGAATTATTTATTTCATTTTATTTCATATTTTTTTTTTTTTTTTTTTTTTTTCCTTCGGATGTGGTTCCCCGTTTTCCCAATGAGCTTGGAAATTCAATGTGCACACCGTTTATATTTCCAATGAAATGATTAGGTCTGGTTCCAAAATCGTCGGGCAAAAGCAAATCGTGCAAAACAGAACGAGCACAATACCTCACATCAGCATCACAGATTTCTACATCATCACTCGGTGCCAACATCTCAAGCGGCCAGCGGTCATGCTTCTTCCATCGGTATGATCAACCCTGGGAACTTTACCTTTGTTCCGATGTTTACCAATGGTGGTCCGTCAACGGGTGGTCCGGCCAAAGGACGCAGTAACCGCAGGCATTCTTACGTCCATCCACCCACATCAAGTTTGAACTCTCAGAAGAAGCCTACACAGAACAGTCCCTTCACTAGACCACGAGCGTCAACTGTCACCGGTGCGTCAATGACATCACACTGTTCTCCGACAAAAGTGATGGTACCTCCTCCACCACTCAAGATCATGCCTTTTGCACCTCAAGAGCAACATCACCTTCATGTTTCACATCATGTCTACGGTGGCCACGTCCATGCTCACTCTCACACGGTGCCACATTCGCCGGTCTCACCGGCCTCTCCCACCACCCCCACCCCCATATTGCCCCCACCAATTCCTTCTCACTACGCATTGCCAAGTCTCAACTCTTGTGCCCTTCCTCCCGTCGTCCCTCCTATCAAAGACATTATCGGTACTTCTGACATATATCAGCCTGTGTCTCACGCATTACCTTCCGCATACAATCAACCCCAGCCTTACACACAATCACAGAATACCAACATTACGATGCCGGTTTCCTCTAATACAAAATCTGCAATCGACATTCTTGCCACAGCGGCTGAATTCGTTCAAAGCGAAGAAAAGGAAAAAGAACGCCTCAAGGCTCTTGGTGTATTACACGCTCAGAACGAGGCCGATGACGAAGATCAAAGGTGGAGGAGACCCTGGTTACTCTAACTTATGCTACCACCAAAAAATGGTCGATGAGTTTTTTTTTGTGGATGCTATTTTTTTTTTTTTTTTTTTTTTTTTTTTTTTTTTTTTAAAAAAAAAAAAAAAAAAAAAAAAAAAAAAAAAAAAAAAA